CGCTAGGCCGCTAGAAGTCACGAGGGTTGCCCAGCCCCTTGCAGACAAATATATATATATATATAATATATAAAATATATCTCTTCCAATGACTCTCCTCTCCTCCGCTGTGTTTGCAAGACAGGACCCGAATTTAACAGACTAGAATTGATACATTTTTTGTTTTGTTCGGGTTGGGCACCTTCATCATGCAGCACGCTACTTCCTCTCTTCGTTACAAGTTGATTTCAAGAGCGCTGCTGCCTTTGACAAGTGAAAAGTGTATGTTTTCCACCATGCTGAAGTGTTGGTGCTTTGGTCCGATGTAACCACTGCTTGTACGGCTTGATGGCCTCAGGGATGAAGATTGCACGGTTGGCTTCATTTCGGCCCAAGGGTATGTGAAAGGAGTTAAGTGAGCTTACGCTCTGAGTCGCGGCACCCCTCGTTTTCGGGGGAGTGTGCATTGCCACAGAATGGCTGGCACTCTAAGCACGTTGGACATTTCCAACTTGGGAAGTTCAGAAGAGCGTATCGCAGCTAGAAGGGCACGGGCTGAAGCCAAGCTTAAGGCAGACAAAGAAGAGGCTGAAGGCAAGAAGACAAAGAAGGATGATGCAGCTGAACAGGCCTTTTGTGGGGAATTCAATCGTGGTTTAAGTGTCTAGGTCAAGCGGAACCAAAGGGTCATTTTCTTCCAAGGTTTATCTGATCCGAGTCGTATTCTGATGCATTCTCAATTCTCCATCTGTTTCCTCCATGCCCCTTGAGGTGTCCTTAGGCAAAGAGCAATACGGCAAGTCCGTCGCAGAGCTCGAGCGGTTCCGGACCGAGACGTGGGATGAGCTGACGAGCATCCTAGTGCGTTTTGATGACCAGGAGAACCAACGTCGCATCGTGGAAGAGAACAACCGCTTAGACCGCTACGAAGCTTTGCAGATTGAAGCTGTGACCAGCGGCAGGAAGAATGCAGCCATCGAAATGAAGTGGGCTGACTTACTGAACATGGACATCCCACAGGAGCTCAATGACCAACTTCAGTTTCAGAAGAGTGCTTGCAGACAGATCATAGAGTCCAAGGATCGGCGCATTGAGGACTTCAAGACAGAACTGAAAAACAAAGATGAAGAGTACATCAAGATGCTGAAGCAGCAGAGGTTGGATATTACAACTTTGATCTCCAAGATGCGGGAACAATACCACTCACTAAGGCAACACTACGAACAGCAGCTAGAAGACATTGAGCAAGCCTTCGAAGAAGAAAGGAAAGAAATGCTTCAGAAGAATAAGGCAAGGCTCCGTTTCGACATGTTTCGACTAACCGGTTGCACCCGACATCCGAGAAAGCGCGCCAAGAATAGCCAATAGGCCAATAGGCCAATAGGCAGGGCCAAGTAGACCCCTCTTTGCACATTGCCAGGCAGAGATTGAGGCACTCTTTGAGATGCGCCAGCTGATGGAACAACAAGAATTCCTCGAACGGCGGCAGGAGATGAGAGCCACACGCTGCACCCCCATGGAAAGATGCCCGAGAGGTACTTCACGGTAAGTAAGACGGCGATATATAGGAGCAAGGACGCTACTAGGGGCTCCTGGCCTTACTACGAGGAACAAGAAGCTACTAGTAACAAGGGCATCGCTACTAGTAGCTACTATTTAGGAACACAAAGTGATTGAACTGTATATAAACATCTTTGCGAGACTGCGACTTGTGACTCCACAGCCTCAAGTGCTTTGGTCCATTTTGGTCCATTGGTGTGAGCCTAGCAATCCTATAGTCTCAACGAAGGCTTTTTAGTTTGTACCAGCTGTCAGGAGAGGGAACGTGGCTTCCAACAGCAGATTGAAGAGCTCCGCACAGACAATGCTGATGGCTACAACAAGTGCAAAATTGCTCTAGAGAAGGGCATCCAGGAGCTCGCTGTTAGAGAAATGATAGGGCAATGCTGTGTGTGTCAAGAGCGGGCCCTGCAGTTTTGCGTGCCACATGTATTCACGTTTTTTTTATTGTTCTTTGGAGTTTGTCGCTCTCCTTGGAACGGCCCTGGTTCTGCAGGAGCTGGAGCAGCACTTGGAAAAAATGCTGGCCACGTACCTGCTCAACAAGGAGACCAGTCTACACGAATCTACATATAGCATGCATGCCCACTACTAGCCTGCCACTGTTCCTGCTGCAGAGTAGTTTTTTTTGAAAATGTGTGAGGGGTTGAACACCTACCTGCGAGGAGAAGCTGGAGTACAACTTGCAGGTCCTCTCTGAGAGAAACAAGGAGCACACAGCAATCCAATCTTCATACAAGAATCGGCTGAACCGTCTCCGGGAGACCCTGAACACCCTGATGAGTCGATACAACACTCTCGACCAGAAGTACAAGACCCACAACCACGAGCTGACGGAAGAGTACAAGCGGGTGACAAAGCAGTTCAAGGATTTGCAAGTGCCTCTCTTAGATTGACAAGAAGCTACTACTAACAAAGGGCATCGCTACTAGGAGCAAGGACGCTACTAGGGGCTCCTTGAACAAGAATTTGCTAGTAACAAATTAGCACAGACTGCATGAAGCAAGCACATGTTTGCACGGATCTTTCGATGCGTCGGTAGACTCCCCTTTGGGGCCGTTTGCTGAGGAGAAGTTTCAACACTTTGAGCAGGCCGATGAGAAGAAGTTCCGGGAAGTGTGGGAGATGAATGAGGCAGAAGTACGTGGCCTTATGACAAAGGTGCTTGAAGCAGATCGGCTCCTGCACGAACAGCAGCTAGGCCATGAGTGGGTCCCTCCAAAGGAGGAGCTGTTGCAACAGGAGCTGGACACTTTTTCTGAGTCTGGCACCACAACCGGTAAGAGCACAGCATTGGAGTCTGCAGATATGGGACAATCTGATTCCGGCAAATTCTCAGCGACCAAAGTGAAGAAGGTCTTGGATCTCATTAAGGATGAGACTCAGTTCTTGCTTGACATGAAGGTCCGTGACCAATTGGCTGAACTTCCGCCAGAGCAGAGGGATGTGCTGCAGATTGATGCCTTGCTTCGATACATTGGGGTGGAAGGTCAGCAGGATGTAGATCTTTTGGTGCAGGTCTTCTACAATGGGCAGGAAGAAGACGATGAAGCGCTCATGGTGGAACCAGATGATGTGCTACAACATTTGAAGAACTTCATCCAGGAGAAGGAAAATGCACGAATTGCTGACGTAGCCCCCGACAAGAAGAAGAAGGCGCGCACACAACAGCTTGGTAGCGAGAGCGAGCCAGACCGGAAGGCTCGACGACGACGTGAGGAGCGCAAGTTCTGGGAGCGTATGGGCCATGTGATCCCTGACATGAACTTCCGTGTTTGGAAGGCACTGGACGTCTTCCTGAAGCGCTACTATGAGCTCTTGCAGCGCCGCAGCAAAACCATCGACTCCGCAGTGGCCATGCAAAAGCAAAACGAAGAGTTGAAAGCTTTGTTGGACCAATACCTCGGCTCCAAGGTCAATGAAGAACTTCAAGTGCCACCAACACACGTCATCACAGTGGTCTCCCAGCCATGAGGATGGCATATGCATGCTTTTGCAAGTCAGAGCTGACCGGCCGGCTGAAGAGAAGCAGCCGCCCTTGTTTCACCTCAATTCGGCTTTCCAAGCTACTGCACAGCACGACTTGAGCTGAAAAGCCCGCGTGCAAGATGATGGTTGGGCACATGTTGGTGCCAAAAATGCTGTTGAAATCTTTCGACATGTTTCTGTTCTCAAAAGGCTTTGCGAAAGTGGAAAGCACGAAAGAAAGCGTTGAGTTAATCCCTTCGAGGTTTTGAGCTGATCAAGGAGCCAAATGTCAGGGTTTACGTGATTGAGCAGAGCAGGCGGTTTTCGGGCGCGCCGAACCGACCAACCATGGTGTGTGAGCTGGAGTCATTGTGACACGAAACTGCTCAGTGAGTCTCTGCCTTTTCAAGACAAGCGACACTCAGTCATCAGTGAAACCAGTGCTTTCCAGTCATCATGACCTCATCTCAGAAGCCGAACCCCAAGCAGCGGCTCGTTCAAATGCAGCGCTTGGAAAATGGAGTTTGCTAATGGCAGGTGCAGGCCGATCATTTATGATTTATGATATGTTTTTCAATATTGAAAACTTGGGTTTCTCAGCCATTGACCCATGAGATGGGGGGGGCAGGGCGGTCATTTATTGCATGCAGACATCCATGGATTCATTGCAGCCATTGGCTTTAAAGTGGAACAATATCACCAGATCGATAGGGGAAACACGTATTGGTGAGGGAGTTGTTACTCCGTCAGAAACAATTTGATGGAACAAAAAAAATAGTTAATGTTCTCAAAGACAATCCCTTGTTGGGATTGATTTCTCCCACCAATTTTGGCGAATATCGATTCTATTCTACATCACCAATTAATTGGACATTGACCGTATCTTGCAACATGAGCGATGAACAGCCGCTGTCGCAGCAAAACGATGAAACTATAACACAAAATCCACAGTTGAATGCACAAAATCGCAACTTGCACAAGTGAGGTTGGAGTGTCCTTTCGATGCCCCAAGTTGCCCAGAGGAATTGTGCACCTTTTGTGTTTCCAGTTTAGATTGGTGGGCACTTTTTGCAAGGAGGTTCACTCCACCGCCGCCTATGTGCTGGGTGGTTTAGGTTGCGTCCTCGTTTAGAGTCCCTTTTGAATTGCATCATCCAAACATGTTCTTTATTGTGTAATTTTTGTTTGTTTTTGTGTTTTGCAAGGAACGCTGGTGGCAGTCATTCTGACCATACTCTCACTACAAGCGGTCCCGAATTTGCACTATGGAATTAGGTGCCCCACTGTCATATGAAAGAGATGGTGGGTTTGCACGTTGTTTTAAAGAGAAATCCAAGTCCTTGAGGTACAACAACGCGCGTAAGTGGGCGGATGTTGACAACGTGTTTGGCTTAGCTCTGAAGAATCGAAGGTGCAATTGAACCTGACACTGTTGCAAGAGTTATTACAAGATGATACAGATCATAAGTTTCAGAATAGGCAAAAACCCCATTGTATGTGTAGCCATTTTGGTCCGTCAATACATTCGTTACATTTGTGTTTGTTTGAGATGGGGATTGAGGCCTACACAGCAGGCCGATACTTTATTGGGCCGTGGAATTCCTTTGTGAGCTGACCCCAGGAAGCACAGCTTAGCACCGCGTGAAACATTGAGTGTTCATGTAGTTCGCAAAGTTCAAATGTGTTCCTTCAAATCTTGCTTTTATGCAAAGACACTTGGAACCACTTGGATACTCTTTCATAAATATGTTTGCGTCGGACGAGGCTGTTCCCCGCTTTGGTGCAGAACGTTGAGTTTTCAAACACGTTCGGCGCCGCAGACTTGCAGCCTGAAGACTTTTGTGAATGAAGAAATGGCCGAATAAGCTACTAGTAGCAAGGACGCTATTTGGTGGATGCCAGCACAAGTAGGTTGGAGCCCATCGCGAGGAACAAGGACGCTACTTTGGGCCGAGGTTTAACCTGGCGCCAAGCGGCGATCGCTATCCAGCGCTACACACAAGGCCACGGCGACGTAGTGGCGACATCTGGCGGTCTTCGCATCATGTGTTCCAAGGACCAAAGAAGGCCTGGCCTTGAATCTGGAGGCGGCTTGGTCTAATAAGAACGCCACACAAGAGGAGAACCCTTTAAAAGGCTTTGGACCAGCCTTTCTAACCAAAACACTTTCTTTTTGAAGAGTCAATCCAAGATGACGTTCCCGCAAGGTGGCCCTGCAGTACAAATTGAGGCAGGCAGAGGCACCGCTGAATACTGCATGTTGATCCAATTGGGCGACGGGGATGAGACGAATTACCGTATTTGCCACGGGCAAAAGGTTGGCAAGCTCTACACAGAGTTCAACGTCGACTTCGAGGTCTTTGTTTGCAAGATGATTTCCCAGTATCATGCAGCTTGTGCCTGATCACAAACGATAGTTTGAGCAGAATTTGAGCAGATTTGAACCATGTTTAGGCTTGGGCGACTTTGAGAGATTGAGACATGCCAGGCCTTCTTCGTTAGCACCATCCGTGAAAGCGTTATCAAGGCCTATACTTTAACAGCTTGATGTAGAGGAAGGTCTATCAACAATGCTTGCAGCATGTTGTCGGCAATGTTTTCCTTTCTTTTTTCAACAAATCGTGGCATCCCGCCCAGCCGACCTTACTCTGAAAGGAACGTTGCAAGCTTGGAATGTTCTTTGCACGTTTTCTTTTGGTGAGAGCCAGGTGGCAGCCGACTACGAGGCATACCAGCTTTGGGATCAGCGGAAGGAGGTGGGAGCGCGGAAAGGCAGGAAACTGCTGTCCGACTGAGCGCAGGTTGGTGATCAGATGCAAAGGGAAGTGAACTCGGTCCTCAACAAAACGTGACCTCGGGCCGCCTCGGGCCGCAAATTAAGTGCTAGGAGGGCTTTTGGCATCGCTACTAGGAGCAAGGACGCTACTAGGGGCTCCTGGCCTTACTACTAGGAGCAAGGACGCTACTAGGAGCAAAGGGCATCGCTACTAGGAGCGATCGGACGCTGGTTGGATTGAAGCTGTTTGTGGTGCAATGATGTGCACTCATACCGACTCATACCAGGTATGCTGAATGTCACGCCGGCAAGTTGTCAGAGTGACACTTGCTGTTGCATCGATTCTGAGGGAGACGTGCCTTGTGCTACCAGGTTGGGGTCTACAATTGTTGGACATTGCCCTGCCAAAGGCCTTCGATCAAAGCATCGTTCAAACGCAGGCGCTGATTAGATTCTTACATTTCAAAGGTAAACGATACGAGAGAATAAAATACGACTGCAAGACTTGTGGCCCCGGGTATATACAAAAAAATATTTGGTCTATTTGCAAAACGATCAGAAGTGATTTCATCAAGCAAGTGAAGACTTGTTTCCGGTTGAAGGTCTAAACTGCTAAGCTGCTTCATGCGTTTTGCATCTTCTTGCGCTTCCATGCCAGGTGCAAAATCAAGCCATCAGCACAGAGAAGTATGCACAGGAGAAAACGCAGTTGAGCAGAAACCATCAGAACCCTTGGAGCTGAGGAGCTTGTTCTGCTGCTTCGTGTCGCAAGTGAACACGTGCAGAATTGCAGAGCTCAAACATATTAAGCAAGCAGCAAGTGTTCACATTCACACTTTGTTAGCCTGCAAATTAGGGCAACAACCACGGTGCCATACAGAGTATTTTGTTGCTTTTCGAGTGTTGCATGGGATAGCACTACGATGCACTATCTACCTTTACGTTAGGAAGTTCACAGTGAACTTAGGGCAAGATTGCTCGTTTCGATGTGTTTAGTGTGACTCCATGGCGTGGGATGAACGAGTCCCCCAGCTGTGTGAAGCTCAGCTTCGTTGAACAGAAAAATGAAGATAAGACATGCAACATGAAGAGTTCGAAGGCAGCATCGCTTGACACAGACAATGCACGTTTCTTTGTTTGTTCGGCACAGAAACCTCATGGATCACGGAGCGGTGTAGTGGCACAAGCTGCGAAGTGATGCACTCCAGGCGAGCGGTCACATTGGGGGCTTTTCGACCGCGTGGTCAAAAAGGCAACTCAGAGAAATGAAGTGTTATTTTGTTTATTTTGTTTTTGTCTTTTTGCCCGCTCCCCGCCTCCCCACTTAATTAAGTAGGCACCTACCTAATTAAGCAAGGAACTGAGGTAGCTAGTGGCTACAGGACGCTACTACATGGACGCAGGATAGCTCACGCTCGCACTAATGATTTGGTTCCTAGATGTTTAATTTAGGGAAACTTGACCTCCCGACGGCATCAGATCTTTGATTGCGAATTCGAAGCTGTAAACCACCGCAGACGTTTGAACGAACACTACAGGTCTTCAACAGTGTTTCAGTCGCTTGAGCAGTTAAATGCTTCGATCCAACTCAGGTAAAGACCTTCGACCAACAGCAGCAGGCAGTTCCGAACAAATTTGGCACTTGCATGGGCGGAATTTTCACACACTCCGACTGATTGGAGAAATGCTGTGGCTCTGCTCGCCTACTAGGCGGTCGCTTATCGCAGCCTCACGTACCATTGTGGTGCCAAGATCGTGGAGTTTCTCCAGCCCCTAGAAGGTGCTGGTACAAGGCGACCGACTTCGGGTACCTTCAGGTTTGTTCGGGTTTGAAGTGGTGTGAGGCCGGAAGATGACATCGGAGGACCAAACACCATGCGGACCCGTCTTTAGGTTTTTGGTTCTTTTGGTTGTTACTATCACTCGCATCGGACGGTCGTGTCGATGGTATGCCGGATACACTTGACCGTGCATACACAAGAACTCTGTACACGTGCAAAGCTCACACCGGTAGCGGAGCTGCCAATCCGCGACCGGGATGGACCACGTCGCGAGTCTCCGATCTGCACCAATTCCCCAAAGGGAAGCAAACAAAATGAGCCCCTCTGTGCTAATGAACGGAGCTGCGCCCTCGATGCATCCTTGTGGGAGGATACGGCCGCAAGCTCCGAGCTTTGTTAAAAATGCCGGGGAAAGGCTGGGTCGCCTCATCTTTCTGGAGGGCCAGCATTGCTTCATGGATCCTGTACACGTCACGAAAGGTCACAGCAATGCTTTCAGCAATGCGGAATCCGTTTGGAATGCGACCGCAAGTTCACAAAATGAGCTCGACTCTGCAGGGGCCACAAGCCATCGCTGAGGCAAAAAAAATTCAGAACTTGTCTCCATGTTTCTGTTCCATGTTTCCAAGTTTTCGGAGGTGGGTGGTGAAGCGGAATCTTCGGCACCCTCCGAAAACGTGTGTTTTGCGTGTTCCAATGCCATTGTGGGTATAGAACACACCCTTGTACCGGGGTCAGAACAGCAGGAAATTCTGCTGGTTGCTCAAGCTCTTCTTTCTGAATATCTTCTGTAGGTAACAGCAAATGAAGTTGCGTGAGCCAGCGCTGGTGTCGAAGGATCTCAGTCTCAGCTCTGCACTGAACTTCCTGAATCACTGGGGACAAACGATGCGCCAAGCTCCTAGCAGCATTGTCCGCAATGCGATTGTTGCGGATGTGAATCACCTTGGTGTTGCACTTTGATGCAAGCTCGTCTGTAATCTGCGGGAGTGGGACTTGTTCCAACTGGTGAGCTGGAATCCATTCAGCGGAAAATGGCTGCGGGCGAATCGCCTTGCACCTCTGGACAAACTGCTGAAATCTTCTCCACCAGCTAAGACATCGCCACGTGACATCGATGCGGCCAACGATTTCGCCGTAGATCTTTGACTTCACAAGCCACAACCCTTTGCATAAGATTGTAAGATTGGCAGATTGCCACTACAAGAAGTCTTCAACCTGTTTTAGTCTCATGATGTGTTACATATTCGCTTTGGAGTTGCCCTTGGCAGACTCATGCACGGCGACTTTGCCCGAAAGATCTCCCCCTCCGAAGAAGCCTTGGCCTTTTACATTCTCAAGCGCCGAGACCTTAGCAGATAGCAAAAATTCGAATTGATAATTGTACAATGCACCGGGCATTGGGATGAAGAACGAGTTTGCATAAGTAAGTAGCATATGGAGCTCTGAGATTTGCCTTTGGTGGGACTGTTTGCTCTGAGACCCTCGGATCTTCCATCAACGCAAAGTCCTGGTGGTGGGTGCGGGACTGGGCCTGGCCGGCCTAGTTTGCGCCACTTGTACAAAGGCAGAGCAGGCGAGAGTTGTACCGGGAAAAGGCATGAAAAGACATCAAAAGGTCCAGCTCTTCAACTTCATGGTTTGACCTGCGCTTTGATGTTCTGTTGAGCAGCCTCAATAGACGAGGTCAAAGGTTTTTCTTCTCTGAAATTTGTGCGAGTATTTAGCTCATTCTGCTGTGCAAGGACTTCAATTCCGGACTTCAATTTCTTTTGTTGCTTTAACAAATGCATATTGCGCAGGTTGTCTTGACAGATGGTGATCCTGAGGTACGCACAGATACACATGGGCATGGGCATGGGGTAATCAACAAACAAGTGTTGTACATTATATTTAATACTAATATTGTATTGCCTGCCGTTTTGACGTCGTCATTTGACTTGTCATGTGAGTTTTTGAGAGCGCAATTCACAAGGACTCGTGGGAAGATGTCAGCATGTTGAAACGTAGATTCCGATTGAGAGAGAGAGAGAGAGAGCGGCGAGAGAGTTAATTTACAGTAGATGCTCACACATTGTGCCCTTGTATTGGCAGGTTGTGAAGCTCTTGGAATGTAGCTTGGAACTGAACAAGGATACCGACACAGCCTCTCTGAAGGTTCAGCAACTGCTGTGGGCTGGGACACCCAGAAGATCTGACCCAAACTGCTGACGAAAGCGGCCAGAACGACATCGACCGAGGAGAGAAAGGACTCGTGGCCAGAGCGGGGGTCCTTTGATATGGTGCTGGGTGCAGATGTCGTTTACCTGGAGGAGCGAGTCGCAGAAATACATGGTGCCGTAGTACCAGTAAGTCTGAGTATGTGAATCATCGCACACTTGCCTTTTTTTTCATCCGTTTTGCTACGGTTCATTTGTGTGTCTTCAGAATATTAAAGCCTATCTCGCACAGCCCAGCAATGTGCAGGATTTGCATGCAGCCTTACTGGACATGATGGCCCGAGTGCTTCGTCCAGGTGGTGCCGCACTTGGAGCTGCTACGCTGCTACATGTTCGAGTAAAACATGAACCAACTCTGTCGCATCCTGTTCACCGGACCTGACACATTAGTATCTCCATCACAAAGCACTTTTGGCAGCACGCCACATCACATGGAATGGTGAAGCGCAGTTATTTTGTTGGGTTTTGCTTTGATCAATTTGTTGAGGCCAAGTTCTGCTCTTTGCCTCGAAGCGCCATGGATCTCTAGACAAGTTCATAGCCAGCTCCAAGTCCACTTTCGGAAGCGTAGAGGACTGGCTGCAGCCGGACATTTAGTGAACGGTTCGTTTTCAGTCGGAATCGACTTTTTGAATGTTAACAAGATCGGGCAAGATCCTGATGCAGTTGGACCACTTGTATCATAATTAGTTATTAGTTACAGCATGTTATAGCCGCCATATTGTGCGTTTGTTCTTTTTGTGCATCCTTTTTGATAGGTCAATTGCAATTCGTTTAGCATACAGACTTTAGTTGTGGAGGTCTCAATGGACTATGACTTGGAGGTCGAGAAAGCGATTGGTCGTTCCTCGAAGTGCTTTCCGGTCCTTGTGAAGATCTCCACACCGCCTGAGGAGCGACGGGAGATGAGCGAGAACTTCAATGTGTGTTATGAAGAAAATGATAAATAACGATAAATAACTGGGTACGCTCTATAATGAAATTCGTTGTCAGTAAGTCTGGTATACGGTAATATACGGTATGGGTGTTTAGACATTTTTAGACTTTAGCATTCTAAGAATTTCTAGAATAATATACGGTATGGGTGTTTAGATATTTTTAGGCTTTAGCATTCTAATAATTTCTAGAATTGTATTTCTAAGATAGATCTCGCAAGCCACACGGCTTCACGGAGATTCCCAGGGGGAAGAGAGCGAAGTGGTTCAGCGGCTTTGCCAACACTTCGCAGAGCTACATGAGGAGCACCAGCGACAGGCTGGAGTTCTCTTCTTCGCTTCATGGTTTCAGTTTTAACAGATCCAATGATCGTGAGAACAGATGGATTCTCCAGTGACTCAACAAGTGACACGACCAAAACAACATAATGAAGACAGCTTCCATACAAGGGCCAGGGTAGCAAAGGATACAGTAATGTATCCAAGGCAGCATGGCGTCCGAATCAAAGCACCATAGAGGTATGCGGAGGCGGAAATGCCAAGAGCAATTTGGACCACGCAGAGATATAAAGACACCTGGGAAGGAAGTGGTCGCAGATGAATTTGTGAAGGTCTTGCGGAGCGTTTTTGGAAGTAGGTTGGAGGCCATCGCTAACATGGCGCACATGCCCAGCTCTGCTTGAAACACTAACTTGTAGCCTACCTCGCCAGGGCCAATTGCAGCAATTCTATTGGCAGTGTCCAGCCAGGCCAACATAATCT